CCCCAAAACCCCAAAACCCCAAAACCCCAAAACCCCATTAGAAAATAAAATATTGATTTATTAATAATCAATTAGAGATGCACTGACGTTTCTATTTGCTTCTTCTGCTCATTTTTCAGTCCTTTGAGCTCTCTTAATCCAGTTTGATCAAGTTTTGAAGAGGAATCATTAATAGAACTCTTTATTTTTATATTATCTTTAGCGAAATTACTCATATTAACATTATCTTTAGACAACTGATTAGTCAATCCATAAGCTCTGGAACTGCTAGTTTCCATACTGCTGTTAATATAACTGCTATTGACATTGTTCCCATAAGCCTTTGCTAGTTGTCCTCTTTTATTTACTGAGCTAAGATCTCTTCTTCTTGAGGTAGACTTCTTAAATCTCCCATAATTAGACGACCTAATTTGGCTTTTGGTAATTCTGTTGCCACTTATTTTGCTCTGGAGGGCTTTATTAAATTGGGAAGAAGTTAACGACCTATCATTAATTCCGTACTTAATCTTTCTCTCATTCTCGCTGAACTTATGAAGATTAATACGATAGAGCTTGTTAACTTCATCAAGCTGGTCAGCTATCTCTTTCATTTCACTATTCTTGGCGTACTCCTCCTTCTCTCTATTCCGAAGATCTGTTCTATTCTTCTTCATAGTGATCTTTAACTGTTTCTCTACTGCTGCTATCTCATTCTTGACTTTCTCTATTTCGCTTGGTGAAGGCTTCACTGGGGTATCAGGTTTTCCTTTCTCAGCTTGTTGCTTAAGTTTCTGATTTTCTTTCTCAAATACCTCTATTTTCTCCTTACGCTTGTCCATGAGCTCCTTCTCTACAGCTAAGAGTTCCTTTTTCTTCTTGATCTTTTCATTCAGGATTTTGAGCTCAGAGTCATTAACAGAGGATTTTTGGACTTTATTTTCCTCTTTAAAGTCATTAAGCTCGACCTCAAGGTCGTGGTGAAGCTTATTTTAATTCAGCAGTCCGTTTTAAACTCTGGGTCAACTGGCTAAAGAATATGTTAGGATTGCCAATATTAATGGGTTATAATTACTCTGATTCATCTTCAGCATGTTCTTGAGACAGTATGTTCTGTAGTCTTTGGATTTCCTTCTTCGATCTTTCTATTCTCTGCTTGACTTTCTCTATCTCCTCTTCTGTATTGTCCTTCGCCACAGGCAACTTCTGCTTCTTAATAGTCTGGCTTTTATCAATAGCTACTTCTAATTTATTATTGAGGTCTTTGAGATGTTGTCTTAATTTGTAGTTCACATTCTTTAGCTTGGCAATAAGCATTGTCTTAGGGTCTTTCTTGGTCATTCCTTTCGAAGATTTCTGTAGCTCATCCTTGCCAAGTGAAGAAGTATTCCTTCCCTGCACTTGTGACATTTCTAAATAGATTTTATTTCTTATTTTCAATTTAATTTACCTACATGGGGTTTTGGGGTTTTGGGGTTTTGGGGTTTTGGGGTTTTGGGG